AGTTAAGTCACATCCTGTTGTTGTGTGTGCGCCTGACGGTCATGCTCATGGGTGCACGCTGATGATAACCGCTTCTCTTACTCTTATCCCTTACCGCTGTCACTGAGATATTCGACAAGGTCATGTGAAGTGTGGAAGAGATAGAGTCATAGGGGTATCGGCAGCAGGTTATCTTTTTACTCCCTATTAAAGTGACACTCTCTTACGAACCGTAATTTAACAGAATTATTCCGCTGCGGTGACCTCACGCAGAGAAAAATTACATCCACAACGTGTGACGCACTGCTATCGCACTTCTCCATCAGCTCGTGATCATGCTCTCTCCGCGCATATCTGACTGCAAACAGACGCACATCTGCCGATCTAGATCCAGATCTGGACCCAGATTACTCTGGAGCATCCTGTGCACACAGTGCTGGATAATGACATAATTTAGGAAGTCATTGCAAAAAAGGGCTGTTTCCATAGAAATAGGAAAGAACAGTAGATTAGCTGTGTTACAAAAATATCCTACTTCAAATAAATTATTTTGAACTTTCTATTAATCAGATAATCCTGAAAAAACTGTCAATGTCCCCCTTATAGTAAACAGTGGCTGGTCCCCATGCAGCCTGTCAGTTTGCTGCGGTCTCATTATCAATGGGTGTAGGATGCATAGGTGCAGAGGAACGCAGCCGGCCCTTTTGCGATAGTTGCACTCTCTCACATTAGATCGTGCCAAGGCCGTATCACAGTCAGGAAGAAACACACACACACATACATACACATACACACTCATAGCCAGCCTGTGTCCCTATACCAAAGTGAAATTGACCGGCCCACTGGAGTAATGCACTTGTTCCCTGCACTATTGTTTCTGGCAGGAAATGTTGTTAATGACAAATAAGGATTCAATAAGACTCGGAGATGAACACTTTGGGCTTGGTCAAAGGGACTGTATTGGTCTTTTCACCGAGCTCTGATTCTCTCTCCTGTCTCTCCCTTCCTTTCCAAGTCTATCTGTTTTTCTTCTCTTTATCTCTCCAGCACTCAACCAATCTGCTGGTCGGTCTCTCCTCCTTATCTCTGTCTCTCTTTTTCTCTCTTTCTATGTGCCGTGTGCCCGCACACAGACCATTCCCCCATGTTCTCTTCAGCCAACAGCAGAAACCCAATTACAGTGAACTAGTGTATGTGGCTGTCGGCATGATTAGTGTGGTCTGGTGTAATGTTGATATCATCCCAACGGATTGAGCTGGCCAGGGTCATTAAGCAGCATATTATGGCCTGTCTTTGGTTTCCAGTGGTAAAGGTCAATGGGTAGTGAAAGTCTTTCTTTCTAGAGTGGGTTAGATTGAGGATTCTGCCTGTTTTTGGCAAGGAAAGAAATGCAGAGAGCACTTTCGCCCCTGCTTTTCATCATGTAATTTTTGTTGCAAACTTAATCTGCTTGCAATACTCATAATCCAAGGGATTTTGTGTGTCAGTGTATTGACACTAAATTTTAGAGTGGTGTTGTTGATGCTATAGGGCGTTGTGCTTGAGCAGGACCTTTGCCATGTGGTTGCTAAGTGTTCTGGGAAATTGTTAGACCATTGCTATCTCAAAAATAGTCTGTGTTGGTTATTTAATTATGCATACTCATAAGAATGAGAAGAACGTGTTATACAGAACAGAAAAGTTACAAGTGCCTTTGCTTTTCCAACCCAAGGATATTCTGAATAATATAAAGATAGGTCATAGTTGCGCAGCCATCCTATGGTTCCTCTCATATTGAGACAGAGAGCAGTGATTTGATATGGTTCAGTGAATCTGCGATAGCTGTCTGCAGCAGGTCTGGAAAGAGCCTGGGGCAACTACAGTTACTAGAGACAGTAATAACCTCTCTCGTACACACACAGCATTACTTCTATCAGGCAGGTATAAGCACACCAGTCATATCTGGTCCCTTGGAATCCCTCATCTGAACTATAGAGGCAGATGAACCAAGTGATCTTTAGTTGGATTCAGATCAAGACAAATTCAAGTATGAGGCCCTGCCTGAGAAGAAAGAGCTGAAAGAGCTTCAACCTGAGCGCCTCAGATGTGTTTGGGGAAAAAGACTCATTTTTATCCTCCGAGAGAGAGAGAGAGTGCGTGAGTGAGTGAAAATGGACTAAGTGGGTTCGCATCAATTTAAAGAGTAGTTAGATCTCACTTTTTTTTAAGGAAGCATGCAAGAACTCTGCAGAGCATATCTTCTTTTTGAACATCATATTCACACAAATTATGGTACCAGGATACACAAGGTCAGTGCAGATTCACAGCTGCCAGTCAACATCAAGGCTGCTTTTATTGCAACAACAACCCGTCATGTCGTTCTAAACCTCCGCCTACATTTTACCAACTGCTTAAAACCTAATACTAACACCTGCTGATCGCACCAGAGTAAATCACTGTGCTGTCGGCTATGTTTACATGTTCTGCAGACTCAACACGTACAATGTCTCCCCATTGCATCCCCCTACTTGCCTATAGTAATGGCTCATTTATTTTCCTGTTGCTATATAAACCAGCGCTGCCGCCCGTGTTGGAGTTTCTTCACTACGCCTCGACAGAGCAGAAATGGGACTCCGTCACAAAGATGCCCTGTTTATTCCTCCAAGACTGCCTATTAGTGCAGCTTGCCTGCTGGGGAAGCCACATCCTGGGACGATGACATTAAAGCACATTCGTACAGGGGAAGAAACCACTAATACTCACTCCATACTACCCTACATACTTCTCTGTCTGCATTAATTCATCCCTCCGTCTACACGGGTGACTTTGACAGCCCACCCTGCGCTTCGCCGCCGCCGCCGCCTTTTTCCTCTGCCTCGTTTGGCAGGTTGTTGTTTTCAGAACATACAGATGGAAAACAGCTTCAAAAGAAAAAGAAACACATGGATGACTTGGATAAGAGAGAACACAACTGTGAAAAAATATATATATAAAAATGAAATAAACCTGAGTAAAATGACAAGAATAATGTGGTATTTAAAAAGTGGAAACCATGGCACACTTTCGATTCTTTTGCCCAAGGGGTGCAGTGGAGGTAACAGATTGACAATCTTCACTCTGTCTGTCTAATGCATGAGAGTAAAGAAAGTATTCACAAAAACCCATAAGCTTGGCAGCTTGCTCAGAAATTGATTTTGGTATGCGCGAGCGTCATGAATAAATCCACCTAGGCCTAGTTATATAGGTAGAAGGGGATGGTAAGACATCCCACCGTCACTAAATAGATTTATTCTTAGTATTTTATCTGTTTCCTGTTCATAATGATGTTTTTTATACGCCTGTGCTTGTTTAAAGGCTTTTATCTGTACAAACAAACAGCTGAATCACAAAGTAAAGGAATAAGCCAAATAAAACATGTAGCTTATGTATGTGCAAAGGTTTACTCATAAGTGAGGGATTGTGGGTAGAGCATGTATTACAGCAGTGTATGAGATGCACACACAGTCAGGGAATGACCTGTGTCCTGTGCATACAGCAACATACATGAGTGGATCAAACACATTTATGGAGAGAAAGTCATTCCCTTCTCATAGAAGTTGTGAGAAATGCCATCTATGTGTTAAAAATATATAATATTTTAATTAATTTTTAAATATTTTATTGAATATTTATTTGTTTGTTTGTTTTGTTTTGCTTTGTTTTTGTGTGGTTTCAGTAAATAATGTTACCAAATTAATGTAATTTCATTTACATATTAATTCTGTTCTAAAATGAATAGTAACTGAAGAGGTTACAGTAATAGGGAATGCTTTTTAGAAATTTTAGGAACAGTTGTGTTTACTTACAGTGATGATGTTTGCAACCGCTTTCAAATGAGAATTTCTTTTTTCAGTTTACTGTGTGAAACATTTGATTGGATTCTGATTAACAGTCTCTGCAGTTTTAAATCAATTAATTTGTTTTTAATAAGTTTTTAATAAAAAAGCCTTGCAGTGTCACAATTAATTTGAACCTATGTGCAAATTATTGCTGTTGGTCAATTTTTACCATGTTATGAGCACATTTCACAAAAGCATGCAGTTAATTCATATGGGATGTGCTGTACAAAGTTACTTTGTTTGTATAACATGGCTGTCCCTCTTCATAAAACAACTGTGTACGAACACATGAATTATATTTCAGTGTTTCCCCTAGGTTTACAGCTTTTTGGGGGGGGGGGCTGGACTCCTTTTTTTAATGGTTAAATTAAATTTTATTAATCATAAAGCTTGTCTAATTAATTAAAATCATGAAACTTAATTTAACATCAAACATCAAAAGTCGAGCTCGACCATGTAAATTAGAGACAGAAATGACATGCTCCCCAACATGACCGATAGCTGTATTCTGCTGCTATTGTGAAAATAGCCATTGAGTGCCTAACTCCTGAATCTCAACAATACCATATCAGCACAAAAATATAGCATTTTAATAAGCACTTTTATGCTGCTGTTTTTATATTGTGTGTGGGAGCATTTCCAATTACTCTGTGTGTGTGTGTGTGTGTGTGTGTGTGTGTGTAGAATTAGCATGAGGCAGCTCCTGCTGATTAGTCTAGCTGGTAGCACCGTGTCAGTCAGTGCTGTTGGTGGGCAGTCTGCTGATTTAGGGAGGAAGTGAGTCTGCAGTTATGGAGTGTTAGTAATCATTCTCACCTGCTGGAGACTTGGATACAGCTGGGAGCACAGGGGTGCTGCCTCTTCCAAAAATCAGGTGTTGGTAACTACTTCCCCCTCCTACTATTTTCTGCCTCTTTACAAGTGATGAGGATTCCAATGCTTTTGCTCATTTATTGTCAAAATAATGATGAAAAACATATCTTCTAGAAGCCGTTTGAAGTCAGAGATTGCAAGTAGCAGCAGAGAAAGCTTTCTTAGGAGGCTCATGGACTCCAGTGATGATCAAGTCTAATACAGATGTTGTAATTAACGTGTGACAGGCCTAGCAGGGTGTAAAGCGCAGCGGTGCAGTGGCTGATCCCTTAATGTGTCTTGTTCCCACAGGGTGGACTGAGGAACAGCAAGCACGAGTGTACGCTCTCATCACAGGAGTACGTGCACGAGCTGCGCTCAGGCATCTCCGAAGACAAACTGCTCAACTGCCTGGAGTCCCTGCGCGTGTCCTTGACCAGCAACCCCGTCAGGTCAGTCAGTCATTTCTTACAGACTGTCCACAGCACTAACCATTCCAGTCTTTCCTTCTGCAACCAGATTCTGATGAGAAACTTCAACACTTCAGCCACCTCCAACCATCTCCTCACTGTGAAACAAAAAGTTAAACCTCATTTTCCTGTCTGCATGTGGCAATCTTGGAGGATTTCTTTCAGGATACTAATTGGAAATCTGTCAATGAGTCCTTTAACCTTTGGTCCGTATGGATCCCCAATTCTGGTTAAATGAGCGTAGCCCATAGTATGGGCCGGCTAAATGAGTGTATCCACCAGCCACTTTAAACCCGACCCTGTCATCTCCTCCTCTCTATCTATTAAGCTCTAATAGATAGGAAATCCTTTTTTTAACACTTCAGACAGCCAGCCATTCTCTGAAATGTTAATAAGCACACCAACCACCACTACAAGATCAGATGCCTTTGCTTTCAAGTCCACTAAAGTGTGTATCCTATCGTTTTCCACTTGCTTTTTTTAATCAGTTCTGATCATGCCTAATGTAGTACTTAAAATAATGTAGCATTTCTCTCAGCCTCCCCTGGCCATTTCTGTCAATTTTTTTTTATCTCTTATTCATTTGTAGCAAATTATCTCGAAAGGGAAATGTATATAAATAATTACAATTAGTTATAATTAATTGCAATTATTTATATCAGCTGCCAGTAGTAACAGTATTATTAATATTACCATCAACTAATCAGTTTGTCTAGCGAACATTCAGTGTAATTTCATATCAAGCCATAGAAAATAACTTTCTTACTGTACTAGTGCATTAGAGCATGTAACAAGATCAGGAATCATTAAAGGGACATTATCCACAAGCAGTGACAGAATCAGAAACTCATGTAATTTTATGAATTAAAGGTTAATAACTAAAAATAAGGTTTTATTAACTAAACACTAACACAAAACAGTAACACAAAAGTAAAAAAAACATACACGCACACTTATACATACATACAAAGGGGAGTTAAAGTGGATGAAACATCTGTTTCGTTTAGTTAAATGTATGATACTTGCATTGCCTTGGCTGTTGAACGAGTGTCTGGATGCAGTCTCAGATGAAGGTTTTGATGGTTTGAAGGTTTGGTGGTATTGGAATTGCGATCACGTTCTTCCAGGTTTGAAGAGTGATGACCTCCAAAGATGTTATTCTGACTTAGTGGTGATTAGGCGAGTTTTCTCCCAGGTGAAAAGTTGCAGTATGGCTTGCTGGCCCCGTGTGTCGTGGTCGGACTTGGGTGCGTTTCCCGTACAATGACGTAACTCGCTGATTAATCACCATAGTACGATGCATTGTTGTTGAAACAAACTAGCTAGTTACGACTGTTTCCAGAACATGGTCGCATCTCCGTAGTTTGAACCACATTAGTTCAACAACATAGGGCCATTGTTAATGACGTCACACGCATGTGGTGGAGGAATAACTTCTGCTATTTAACCGATTAGACATCTCTAAGATGCTGCTGTATTGATCATGGCACCTGATAACTAATTTATTATTTTTTGTTCCCTGTCATTCGGGGTTCCCTCTTACGTCATACATACGACATACACATGTGCACTCTTCAAAAACGGCGCTTTTAGAGGACGCACAAAAATACATAGATTAAAATGCATTTATATTTAGATTGAATGGAATATATAGATTGTACTGCATGTTAGCTTGCATATTGTGCCCAAGAGCATATTTATTTAAGCTCATATCGCTTACTAACAAGAAACTATGCTTCTAACCACAGGTCGAGAGCTGTAGTTCCTACCACGTAAGTTTGTGATGCTGTTTGCGAATGTTCGTTTGAACTATGGTTTCGGGAAACACCGAATCGTTGAACTATGTTGGTAACGACGGAACTTGCGACCATAGTTGGCTAACAATGCTTTTGGGAAACGCACCCCTGGATGTCCGAGAGGCAAGGAGGTAAGAGTGCCAGAGAAGAGAGAGGTCGCTGATGTGAGGCCTTTTAACTTCTATTGAGATCACATCTCCAGGGGGTCAATGAGCCAATGGTGACTTAAACTTTCAGAGGGGAAGTTTACAACTCTTTGTATTCGAACATGGTATTTTGCATATGTAACTGGATTGGGTGTTGATGCAAAAACTATTAAAGATTCATAGAACACTAATGCCCCGTACACACGGAGATGCGTTTAGCTGTATACGCATACATTTTGTATCGTATAAGCGTTTCGTCCACACGGATCCGGCGTTTTGGGAGAGTGAAACCGATATTTTTTTTAGCCGGGTCCCAGAGTGGATAAATCTGAAAACGCCGCCCTTTCGTTTTCATGTGGATGGCAAATCCGTATATTTTCTGAAACTATGACGTCATCAGCCCACGTCTCTCCTCTAGTCAGACACCGCTACATCACGTAACAGCAACATAAACATGAACAAACACTGAATGATTGTCTTTTTATTAACTAACATTAACACAGATTAATAAATGCATTGTTCCATGTTCGTTTGTATACCGCACGCAAGGTTTATGCGCATAGTCCAAGTCGTCTTCTCCATTTTTAGTGTATTTCTATGGCATAATTACAGTGCCACATACTGGTCTGGCATGTATACTACCATCGTTTTGTTTCGGTTTTGTGGTTTCGTGTGGACGCAGATATTTCTTGAGACGAGGGGGTAAAAAAAGCTCTGGCTTTGTGTGGACGTAGACTAATATGTTGCATTGGTATCAACATATACACTCTCATTTAGATCATCAAAATACAAATTTGTAGATACCAAACATGTTATAGGTGAGGTTGCATTAACTAGTGGTTCTATCATAAGCATGCATAAAACGGTATACAATACAAAAGTCAATATACAAGAACAGTAATAATACACACAGTGACCTTGGGATATGCATGATAGAAAGGTCAAAGAAAGGTTTGTATATGAATTAATGAAAGGAGTCATTTTCTAGTAGGCAGCATATTGTCTGATTCAGACGGAATTAAGTAAGAGGAAGAATCTCTCGACATGCCATTAGGTCCTAAAGTTTATCTGGTCTGGCTGAGGTGTCCTGGTTTCCATGGTGACCAGTGGTCTGGGGTGTTGTTCACAGACATCCTGGCACCCAGTCTGGTTGTTGGGTGAGGGGGTCTGTTGGATTATTTGTTAAATATAACAAATAATTGTGTGTCTGATTAATCCAGGCGTTACACATCCATTCATTCATTCATTCATAATAAGACCCATCTCAGTTCCCCCAGCCTGCTCTCCCAGAAAGTTGTATCACCTCCCCTCTCATGGACGGGATTTTCAAATTTAATTTGGTCCCAGTAGCGCAGAGGAACACTATATGACAGCAGACTCTCTCAATTATTTACCGGAGCACTGTCTGAGAGATGGCTCTTAATGTGAATCAGTGAGCGCAGCATATAAAGTGGTCATCACACAACTGGCAGGCAGACGATCTCTTTAGGTCCACCGTTGCACTGTGGGAGAAAGGACCTGAGCAGAACCGGCATTTGATCCGATGGCATTACGCGCCGTGCTCTCAACAGATGTGTTTTGCACTGGAAAGCAATTAATAGACGCCCCTGCCCTTCTCACCAGATGGAGGTACAGTGCAGTGAGTCAAAGGAACACAAACACCCGAATGACTTTGCTATTGTTTTCCTGTCACAGAACACATAATCTAGAATGTGAGTTGTAGAACACTGCGCCTCAAGGTAATCTCTTGTTATTGCCCTAATTAAATGAAGGGATGGCATCTAGTTCTGTTGTCTTTATCAGATCATCACAGTGTGCTGTCGGGGCCCCGTGCATCCAATTATTTACGCCACTGTTAGCCATTAATCATGGGAAATGGATACAGAACGCTGTTCTTTGAGAAGCCCACACTTCGTACCCCCATGAGGACAGGTTGTTTGTAAAGATCAGACTTGCTGGCTGAAGACGAGTGGCGTCAGCACTTCCTCTCTGTAAAAGGGCAGTTTGCGCTGAGGGGCCGGCGAGGCCAGGACCACCCTCCAGGCTTTTGCAAATGGCTGAACTTGAGAGTACGCATTCAGAGAAGGGTGCCGACTGGTGTCTCACTCACCCACTGAAGGTCATGTCTTGCTCAGAGAGAAGCACCCTGGGGTGACGTAATGCATGGAGATGTTCAACGTGCTAATATCATTCACCTTATACCCCAGTCTATCTATTTTTTTTGTTTGTCTTTTAACCACACTGAGGGAATACTCAAGCTTCTCATAAGCGTGCTTACATTACAGTTAATATGAGTGGAGCTAATTATTACTGATCACAAAACACAATATCCGCCAGTGTGCTGAATACTGTGTTAATGTAACCTTTACAGTGTTCTGGGTTTATGTAGTTGAGGCATTCGCCCCAGTGACAATAACTTAATGCACTGCTGTATAAGTGGACAGTTTCATGTGCAGTTTCAGCTTTATTACATTTGCAAGAACCATCTAAAGACAGTTTGAGGTAGGGTATTGCATACTGTAAGAGTAGTTTCTTTAGATCAAGAATAAAAAAATAACTAGACTTTTTCCATCCCACACTAAAGAGAGAAAGTTAGGTCTCTGCTTAAAGTTTAGATCAAATGGGACCCAACCAATTTCTCCTGAAAGGGTTGGTCTTTTTTTTTCAAATAGACTATGTGCAAGTTTTAAATGTTTGGACGTAAAGGCATAGTATGTGCTGAATGAGAAATTAATTTGTGATGAAAATGACCCCAAGTTCCTTCACTTTGCCAAGGTGCAATTACTCATGAGTCTGTTCACACCTTATCTCTGTCCTCTGCAAGAAATATGTTAGTGTGTGAATTCCTTTTAAGTCATGATTCCTGCAACATGTTCTGTTCCATAATAATCAAACTCCACTCACAGGAGTGCCGAAATGGGGTTAATGACAGTTTATTCATGGATGTAAAATGGTAAAATTATCACATTTATTTAAATAAGTGTTGCCTTTAATGGAATGGAATTCTAAAAATTGCAGACTGTTGCTTTGCAAGTCTGTT